GCGAGGCGGCCGGCGGTGCGGTGCACTAGCACAATAAGCTGTGCGTTCCATAACATACAGAGTATTCGCTACTGTGGGAATCGAACACTTGTTTTTTTGTGAAACTACCAGGGCTTATCCACTGGGTGCGGTGCGTTGATTCGGCAAAGGGAACAGAAGGACGTCCTCTATGAGGTGTGCCTGTGGAGGGAGAACTGAACTGCCGCCTTGGTGAGTATGAAATATTGGTATTTATCTGAAACGAGGGGGCGCATCGCTGTGCATGACGAGACTTTATTCATACGGACGTGAGGCGGCGGGTGGAGGAGGCCAACGGGCATGAGCAATACGAGAGCGATGCCATTGTTGCCTGTTGAGATGATTTGAGCAGTGATGATGATAACGATGCGGGCGAACGCTCTCAGGTAGAAACGCTCTTCTCGATGTCAAGGTATTAAAGTTGCACGGTAATGTGCCGCAGGTTGACCGGACCTCTTTTTGTTGGTTCTTCCGACACGTCGGTGGAGCTGCTCGGCGTTCTCCAACAGGGTGTTCTGTTCTGCACAGGCGTGGCTGCCCGAGGATTGTATCCGCCACGGGCGGACTGAAGTGTGCACGACGATCCTTCGACAGATCCAGCGTGTTGTAATCACCGCACTGGACGGTCAATCGCGCATTGGCAACGTTGGGGACTCTCTGCTGTTCCTCATGCCACACGAGGCAGGATGCATCCCATGCGTGAGGACCCTTTATCGCCAAAGAGAGAGGGATCAGTGGCTCTTTACGGGAAATGAGGCGACAGCAGCAGCAAATGGAAGAATGATAATGCGACTCTTCTCTTTCCACCACCTGACGACGTTGGACCCAAAAGGGGAACCACAAGTGAATGCAGAGCACGGCGCACTTACGTGTGCACTGTTATTCGACTTGTCGTGAAGCGGGATGGAGCCGTCAATGATTCAACTGGTGTAGATGCGAGCTGGAACGATGATCTCACACGACTCGCACCGTGTGTGTTCCCATCGTGCATGCGGGCGCACGCAGGGCACTCCAGAGAGCCTATAAACCGTTTTCTAAATTTGTGTATGCTCACATTTGTCACGTCGCACACGGTTTCCTTCTTGGCAAGAGACCCGGTGATTTTTGGGCACAACTGCAGAGCTTTATTGGGGAGGACGCGAAGACTGCGAGAGAGGCGTCTTCTCTCGACACACAGGAGGGCAGAAGAGGGTGCGAGGGCTTTCGAGGTTGGATGCGACTGCAGTTTGAGGTGCGTCACGATGATTGGCCGCGAAGCGTGATTGTGCGGAAGCAGCGCCGTGTGACGCGTAGTACTGCTGGGCGGGGAATTGAACGGAGGCTGGCACGGAGTGAAGAGAGAAGTGACACACCCACGAAGCAAGAGGCCAATGTTGCAGTGACGTTGGCGAAGTGTTTTCCATGGGATGAGCTGACATGCTTCTCCCATGGCGCTTAGCTGTGCCCGCGCCAGCCCGCGTTTTTTATTTTTTTTTACTCCACAGAGTATCCAGGCTCTTGGTTCTTGCTTGCTTGGGACTCCTCCACCATGGAATTCAACGAACCACGACGAACTATTGGGATGCCAAACCCACGGGAATCGTGGGCTTTAGCGTGGTCAATCTGGATCCGTGAGCGGAGACCTGCGGCACCTCATTCTGCGGCGAGTATCTCACGCGTTGTCACGGGTATCAGCGCCTGTGTGTGTCTGCCCTATGACCGGCATTTGTATGGCGTACGCAGTTTGCAAGGCTGAGGGAAAGGGCGGGAATTCCCACTGGCACGTGTCTGCAGTCATAATGCGTAAATTGTGGACTTGTTTGTGCGGCAAGGCAGCAAGGTCGCTCAGAAGATGCAGCATAGACTGGGAGTACACTTTCTAGCGGCGCGTGCTTGGTGACTACCGAGGCGATGGCCCCAAAGGGACTTATGTGGGTGATGCAGATGCACTGGATATGCGCAATGCCATGCTTCGTGACAGGGAGCGAGAGAGGAGTAGCGTGATCCTTCCTGCCATGGACCTATCAACTTTTGAGGAGTTGGAGCGAGGCCAAGGGGACAAGCGTGTGTGTCTTCACTTTCTTGCGGGAGGGCGCGCAGAGGTTGGATTTCTTTTGTTTGTTTTGTTACTGTGTCTGTGTTGACGTTATTATTTTTTTTTTCCAGAGGCATTCATTGTGCGATTTGTGCGTGTTCGGTGTCCAAAGTTTTCCGCGCCGCCAAATATGGTGTTGCGCAGGATCGGCATACATGGATGTGCAAGAGCATTGTATCGCTCGCCCGTAATAACGCACACGCGCACAGTTTCAGCGCGTCTGACACGTCACGTTCTTCAGACCGTCCGGAATCACTTGTGGGACATCACTTCATTTTGGGCCTAGGGACAGCGAGGGGAAACGGAGAGATATGCCGGGAACGTAATGCTCCTCCATAATACCGCAGGCTGGCGGCGACAAGGAGCAGAGAGCCTCTACCCAACGTTGAGAAGAGGGCAGCACTCTGATGATCCGGCTTGCTCTTTAGGAAATTGTAATGTAGTGTACACCGTGTGGGCCTTTTTGCTGCGGATATGCAGAGGGGTGATGTGGGGTGGAATTATTGTTGAAGGCAACACGGACGCCGCAAAGCCTTTATGGGAGGGATGAGTGCTGTTATTCCGTGCTTCCTTGCCTGCGTTGTCGCACTCATGCTGTGAGTGCGGATGGCCACAGTAGGGGAGCTGGATACGGTTCAATTTGTGTTGCTCACGGGGACTGCGCGACACATGTTTTTTTTTGGGTTTCCCAAAGGAGGGGCGCATCGCCGTTGCGTGCTTCCCGCGGCAGTCCATTACTCTGCGACTGTGCATGCCGCTGTCCGCTGCGCCACTGCAAGCCTTCGCCTTTGTGAGAAATGGGGAGCTTGACTGCTGTGGCGGTGGTCGAATGCTCCCGAGTTGGTGCTTTTGGTGATTTCACTTAGAGTGCCGAGCAGCGAGGGGCTGCACACGCCCAGGAGGTGGGAGTGTGTGCTGCAACCGCACTTGCGATTTGTATTTGGGATGTTACATGTTTCTTTGTTATTTTTATTTTTGGTGATATGCGGGGCAGCGGTGTGTTGGCGTGTGCGTGCTGCTCATGGCTGCCGGTGTTGTCTTTCCTGCTGTTCTCCCGCTCAACTCCTTTGCGTGCGACGGAACAAAAGTTCTTACGGACGTGTGGTGGGGCCGCGTTCTTGTTTGGAAAAAAAGCCTTTCGCAGGCATAATGATACTGCCGTCCGTGCCACACGAGGCAGCGGGGAGTTTCCTGGGATTTATTGGCGGGGTGGCGCCGCACCCATGCCGTGTGGTAGGTTTGTATTCTGCAATGCACGGTGATGGGGATGTGCGGTGACAACTTCCTCCAGTGAAGCGACACGAGCAGCACGGGGAGCTGAACGGAGGAGTGATGGCTGCATGCTTCCAAGTGATACGTGAATGGCGAATGCAACATGAAAGGCAGCGTCACGGCACTCTTTTGCGACACGCGCATTGCAGATATTTTTCATAAAATGTGCAAATTGCACTCTTTTCTGTTGTGTGGGGGATTACCGTGATGCATCGCTGTTGTGGCGTTTACGATTTGGGGTTCTTGCGTGTGGCTGTTAATGCACCGAATAATCCTCCCACTTTTGTTTGTGTGTGTTTCTGTGTGTCAGCGTTTATGTGCCCACGTCCTCTTGCAGAGTGTGTGCGGTGACGGCGGTGCCACACGGGTGCGGGACCGTAGCGAGCGGAATGCATGAGCAAACCCTCCGTGCGCACCACGTTGTTGTTGTTTGCTCTCACCAACACTGTGCTGGGTGGATGAAATCCACTCGCCGTCGTTGCGGTGGTCCTCGTGCATGTGGTTTTTATCGAATACTATGTGGATGACTCTCTTGCTGTGGATGAGTCTCTTGTTGTGGCTTTGATTCATGACTGTGCCTATTGTCTTTCTTTTTCTCATTCCCCTTTTTTGTTTGGTGGCCATTGTTTAGATCTAACTCGATCCAACCAGGAAATCAAAGGGAAACAATGCCTGGAAATCAAGCGTCTGCCGTGCCGCAGGGAGATCGTCAGAGGAGAGCGAGGCCGGAGTCTGAGGATGTCACGGATCAACCCGCTGCGACACAAATAAGAGTGGAGGAGGCGCGGCGACCACAGTGGACCATTAGCAGCACCGTAGAGGACATCCTGCTGGAGGGAAGCACTAACAGGACCGAAATGAAGCTGAATGATTTCCTCCGGAGCAACTTGGGCGAGGAGTGGGTTGTGGAAAGAAATGGGAACGTCACGATGGGGAATTTTGTTCAGAATCCCGAGACGTTTATCAAAAAGAAAGGGTTATTACACACAATA